CTCAGCAGTCTTTTCCATTTAATGTTCTGCCCATGTGTCATTTTCTTATTGATTCTGCTATTCATACCCTTTTTTGAGACTTCTTCATTCTCACTATTTACGAAGTGATAGCTGCCTTTATTATAGGCTTTTCATCATTACACTTAAAAAGTTGACGGTTCCCATTTTACACATAACTTTGTCTTCCTTTGTCTTCTTCACAAATCTTCAGCACATACTTCCTTCTTAACAATGTTTTCTTCAAACCCTATCCGTAAAAAAGTTCTAATTCTAGATCAATTCCCCAACGCCCCTGTTAGACACAGAAGAGGCGGAGGAGGTAGGCTTCGAACAGGGTTAGAATCTACGCGAGGCGGCTCCTCTGGTTCTTCTTCAAGGAGTTCTATCCCAAAAGCCCCTTCTTCTAAAAGTAGGGAAATTCTTGATTCTTCTCAAGAACCCTCAGTTGATGATATAGTTCCCGGCGATTTGTCTTTTGAAAGTGACAAAACGTCTCTTCAAAAACAAATTAAAAATTTAGAAAGAGCCGATACTTACCCAACAATAGTAACCGAGCTTACAATCCCCACCATAAGAAGAGATTGTAACTGGAAGGATAGTCTCCGAATGTCAATTCCTTCCCCAAATCAAAGAATTTCCTCTTTTAGAAGTGGGTATTCTTCTGTTTACACTTACCCCTTCACTTTAGGTTTTAATCCTCCGATTGACCCAGTTATTCTCGATTTTTGTCGTTTCTTTACAATTTGTTTGGCCCAAATCGGTCCATTGGTGTGGAGAACAGTGGCTTGTTTGAGATATTTATCCTCCAAGGCCAATGTCAATTTCACCTTTTCTCACCTCATTCATCTATACCATCCTAACTTAATACGCCATGGGGTTTTTACCTTAACTGCAAGGAGCAAAAAGGTTTTGGTAAATCCTGAGGATGACAAAGATCGTGGATGGTATATCCGTTACGTTGCTGTCCGTACAGTGGACTTGATTGGCGAAACAAATATTCCCTTCCCTGAGAAGTGGAATTTTGAACGTAGGTTTCCTTTTATTTACCGTACCTACTTTTGAGAATTTCAAAAGAAAGTTGTTTTTAAACTCGTCCCTTCTTGGTTTTTTGTAGCAACCTTGGGAGATGTGGAACCTATTCCCAACTTTCGTGGTTGGGTAGACTCACTTTTGAAGATTGCTTCTAGGGAGCAGAGAACTTGGAAATCAATTTCTTCCTTACATGGCTGGAAGGTCAAAACACATGGTATCCCCCCTTTTATATGAATTTTTTTTACATGTTAAGCACTTTTTCCTGAACTTTTATCATGTATATCCATCCTTTAATCAGGATTTGGCATTAGAGGAATGACGACTGAAGTAGCTATGGCCATTCGCATGTCTGCGAATGCTGCTCTTGATTTTGGATAAGGCTCGAGCCTTGCTGCCGAAAAGGAAAGCTACAAAGGAAAGTTCTGAAGAAGAAGAGGAGGGTACCTCCCTAATTACCAGGTCAAGGGTCAGGAGACGAATAATCATTGATGATGAAATTGAAAACACTCCTGCTCGTACCTCCGCCACCGAGCCTGTTTTGATTCAATCTGACGAGGACGCCGAACCAAGAGATAATAATGAGTCAATTCAGCATCTTTTTGAAAGTGGTTTCGGGAGTGGCGAGCTCGGCCCTGTTTTTGATGAAGCTCCTCTTTCCTCATTTGTTCCTATTTCCTCCATTCCTCTGCCAGCCGTAAGTATTTCTTTACCAGTTTCGACGATTTCCGTTCTTTTGCCAGTTTCTACCGCTCCTATATCCGTTCCCTTAGCTGTTTCTGCCGCACCTGCTTCCGCTCCTGTGTTGGTTTCTACATCTTTTCCTTCCATTCCTTCCACTGCTCCTCTTCCCTCTGTTCATCATATAGAGACAGGTTCTAGCAGTGGAAATATGACTATTAGAAGTGTTACTTTGGAGGTTCCTGCCAATCATAGCCTCTTGAGGAAGACCGACAGAGCCGATGTTTGGCTCGAACCTCTAATTGGAGATATCGAGAAGAAGAAGTTGGAGAGCCATTGCTTAACTCTGATGAATGACGTAGTTCATTCTACTTTAAAGGTATTTTTACCAACAAGTTTTTTTTTTTAAATTATCTTCAATCTCTCATTTCCATGACTTACCTCTGTAGGCTAACCTTATTGGCATGGAATTAATGGGAAGAATTTCCCTACTGGAAAGAAAAGCTCGTGAGTCTGAAAGACTGTCCACGAGGCTGAGGAAATAGCTAGGGGAGCCTAGCTTGAAGCAACCAATTGGAAGGAGCAGTTAGAGAATGCTTAAGGGACCATAGAGGAGTTGCAAGAAGATAAAAATCTCCTGGAGCAGCAAAACCGTGGTTTAACTTCTGAACTGGCAACTGTCAAAGCCTCTTCAAGCCAATTGAAAAGAGACAAAGAGCTTTTGGAATGCTCTTTGTCAGAACAATTATCCAGGGCTAGTGAAGAAGTTAGAGAGCTGAAGGCACTTTTGGCTAGGAAGGAAGAATATGCAGGAGAGTTAGTGCAAAGCTTGACTCAAGCTCAGGCTAACCAGACTTCTTCTGACTAGATTCATGCCTTGAAGAGTTCTCATGCTTCTCTTGAAGCTTCCCTTGATTCCCATTTAGCTGAATATCAAATCTTAAAAAACGATCTTGCTATGTGGGAAAAGGAATATGAACTTCTAGAGGAAAATTTTAACATAGAAATGAGTTGGGCTTTCCTTAAATCTCGTCGTGATGCTTTGACGGAAGCTGCTCAAGAAGGTTTTGACTTACAGTCTGAACTGGCCAAAGTCATAGATACCATCGAGAAAATCCAACAGTCTACTGATACTCCTTCTCCTGCACTTGAAGTTCCTGGAACAGAAGAACTTTTAAATGAAGAAGTGAATACTGCAGCAATTGGGATTACAATTCCTGCTTCAGCTGAAAATGTTGCAATTCCAGCTTCAGAGGGTGAAACTTCTATGACCCAGTCTGTGGAAGTTGAAGCTTCCGTGACTCTTGTTTCCCTCATTGATCCTAACAT